AGCACAGAATGAAGCACATTGCTCTTCGCTACTTCCGTGCTCGTGAGCTGCAGCAGCGTGGTCAGCTGCGCCTTGCTTACGTGGCCTCTGAGGCCAACACTGCTGATATCTTTACCAAGGTACTTCCGCCTTGTGATCATCAGCGCTTCTGTACGATGCTAGGTCTTGTGCCTACTTGGCCTCACTTGCTCAGTTCTTGACCTTGCTTGTATTGTGATCTTTCTATACCTGCACTTGCTTGTTTACCTTTATATATATGATCTTGCATGTGAACTGGCCTTTTGGCCTTGCTCTTGTGCTCGGATTGTGTGGTGACATTATGATCCACCCTGAGCTTGCTTTGCTTTGCTTGACTGGTCTTGTGACCTCTTGTTTTCCCCCACTTTGCCTATGGGGGTGTGTCAAACTTATTATATAGCGTGTGTAGGCTATAGTGGGGTAGACACTATGGAGTAGAGTTTCCTAGGGTTTCCTACTTGTACCCAACTTTGTGCTAGTTCATTTCATTCCTCAACTCTCACACCCATGACCCCGAATCCCGACAACCCGGTTCCACGCGCGCAACAGTTCGCCGAAATTTTGCAAGCAGCACGGACCAGGGCAGCAGACATAATAAAAAAATCGAACATCATCGCTAAACGCAACGCCGACCGCCACCGCAGACCTGTCACTTACCAGCCCGACGACCTAGTTTAACTCGACACTCAGAACCTCCGATTGCCCATCACCCCAAAACTCCGCCCCCGATACCGCGGGCCATTTCGCATAAGCCACATGATAACGCCCGTGACTGCCCACCTCCTCCTCCCTGCTGAGTGGTACGTCAGCCCCTTGTTCCACGTCAGCCTGCTTCGCCCCTACGTCCCGTCCACAAGCCAACTCCCACGCAATCGCCCAGCTAGCATGACACGACCGCCGACTGAACCAATCATCACCCCCGAAAAAATCCTGAGCCACAGAGTTCGTGACCCTCGAGGAGCCCGAAGGATCGAGTTCCTACTCCACTGGAAGGACCGTACACCCACCGAAGACAATTGGGTTCCCCTGGACAGAATCGAAAACCACCCCGTCCTCACCGAGTATCTGCGCAGCCGAAACTTCAGGGATGTACACGCACTTTCGTAAGGAGGGGGGGTAGTGTAAGGAAAATTCCTTTTCCTTACTTCGCATCCCTGCTCAACGCGTACATCACTGTAGCACCACAATCAGCACCGTTACCACTCGCAATCATCGCATCGACAATCCGCCCGCCACTTTCGCACGTCGCACCCCGACCTCATGGCTCGGTGGATAACCCGCACTCCGGGCCTCCGCTTCGACACTTTTCCCAACCTCAGTCCCAGGCCCGTCGCGCGACAACCACAGTCCATTACCGTTACCACTGTAGTTTCGCTATATATTCTTCGCTCGTGCCTTCGCTCATTGTACTCTTGCCTCGATAGTGCAGTTCTCGTTCGTTCACTCAATTGCACTCGTAACACAGCCACATAACAAGAGATAGACCATCCCCTTATCAGATACTATTAATCAACGACCAGTTACATATCACCGGTTTGATAAAGACAAGTACTCGTACCGCGGCCAGTGATCCATATCATAGTAGAGCGCCAATGGTTTCTCCTCCGTCAGATGCGACAAAGTATGCCGTGCGTCCAGGCATCTGGCCATGGGATTGATGAGCGTGCGGTTGAGCAGCTTTGCCTCCGCCGCGGCGCACAGGAAGCTCCACGTCTAGTGCGACTCGCCCGCGCAGTAGTCGCCCTCGCCCGTCACTGTGTAGAACCGCTGCGAATTCTTGATTCTACCACGTGCACCGCTTGCACTGATCGCACTGCTTGCATTGCCCCCATCAGCACCGTCGTCATCGGCAGTGGAATACGGATCAGCATTGGGTTCGCCATGATAAACATTGGATTTGGCATTGGCACGATCAGCAACATTGCCATCGGATTCCCCATGCAGCCACGCTGCGGGTACAGCGGTTTCTGCGCGGGTCGCGGCGCCGGTTGTGGCGGCGGTTGCGGTGAAGGGCTCGACAGTGCTTGCCTCGTCTGCTGAGCTCGAAGCTGTGAGGGCTATCATGGAAAGCGGCTGCTGTTGCTGCTGATGCGGTTGTTGCCCAAACGGCTCTTCTCTTAGCTGCCGATGCCGCTGCCGCCGCCGCTGCTGCTGCGGCTGCTGCTGCTGCCACTCTTGCCGCTTTTGCTGCTCTGGATTCGCATCATCGTCTCCACCTGTGCCGCTTCTAGTCAGGAGACCCATGAGAGCTCTCTCACCGCCGCCATCGGCGCCGGCGCGGCTCGCACGGGACGCGACGGAGCCTCGCGCCGCGACGATCGCCGCGATTCACGCCATCCGTGCCGCGCCGATCGCAGCTACCGCAGATATTGCGTTTTTTTCTTCCGCTCCTTCGGCGTCAAGATACTGCGAGGAACGGTTAAATAAGAGAGATTGTACGATAAAGATCGCCGGAACTAGCTGCAGCAGCAGGCGCCTGGCGGACTTCCAGACCCATTGCGACGCGAATCCCTTCGAAGAACTTAGAGACAAACCCGAAGATGAAGTTAGAGACGAACCTACTAGAAATGCACTGGAATCCGTGACCACTAAACGGTTGGACAGGCGAAGGTATTGTTTCGAAAGGTCGGCTCCATTAGGCCTCGAGGCAACTGACCGTTGAAACGACTTCATTAGATTATGATGGGCTCCTTGCTCATATGATTGACCATTACGGCGAAATGAGGCCCGAGATCCAGCGAGATTGCCGGGACCCTGAGCCACGTCGGAATCAGGAAAGCGACATATTCTATACCAGGGACTCGAGTCATTGGTGTGTTCATAACCCATCAGATTAACTTTTCTTCCTTCACCAATCCCAGCCGTTATTAATCGCAGAGGTCACCAGCATGACTTTGGCTTCTAAAATACGAAGCAATACGTTGGTAGGGACTGGTATCAGATTCACATTCCGCTCCAACCGTTAGCAGTGGTATGTAGGGGCTGGTATGGTGTAGACGAGTTAAGAGTCTAGAAGTCTTTATTGTTAGGGATGAAATGGGATGGGTAGAGCGCGCAAAGCTCGCATCGGAGGCACAAATCCACCAGTCGATCAAACAGAAATTCCTGCGCAGAACGATCAACAGAGCATAACAAAGCGCTTACTTGATGTTGCCACCACCATATACAAGGTCCTGACTCATGACTGATAAATAGCTGTGAAGAAGCGATAGTACAACCAATAGTGTTCGCTTGACCATGAACACCATTCGAAACTGCTTACGAAGGTCTACTAGCAACAGTACAACCAATAGTGTTCGCTTGACCATGAAAGGACGGCAGTTCCATTGGAAGAGGGGTGCTGCTCCTTCGGGCCTGCCATGTCAAAGAACTCCCTAGCTTCGGCAAAAGAGCGGGTTTGCGTCGCACGAGCCGCGCGCGCCAACATGCTATGATAATGCTGCTGAGTATCACTTTTTTTCTATGATGCGAAAGGTTCTGAGTGGTTGAACACTCGGAAAGGTTGAAGGTTGAAGGTTGTTACGGGTGCAATGAATCCAAGTAACGAGAATTGCACTAAGGTGTCAAATGAGTACAAAATGTGAGCGAATGCATGAGCGAACATTTATACGCGAAACATGCAAACGGTAACGCGGTGCGTGCGAGCTAGCTAGTGCTACGCTCGAAGCGAGGCTCGGGCTAGTCCCGAAGCGTAGGCCGACACGACCGGTCCAGCAGTGCGAGGTTTGGTGAAACAGTGCGCGCGAAGTCGGCGAAGCCCCATTAGCAGTAACGGGCGAACAACGGCTGCTGCTGTACGCGGTGTTGCAGGGTGCGCTAAGGAATATCGAGAAATTTCCTTACACTACCCCCCCCCTCAAGAAGCCCCCTCCGCTACGCGAGTGCGTGTATATCGCGGAAACCTCGGCTCCTCAGGTACACTTGCAGGGCAGGGTGGTTTTCGATGTTGGCCAGGGGCACCCAACCATCTTCGGTTGGCGTGCGATCCTTCCAACGGACGAGGAATTCAATCCTCTTGATTCCCGTGGGGTTTCGAATCCGATGGCTCGGGAATTTTTCGAGTTCGATGATCGGATCCGATGCAGGGCGAGTCATGGATGGCGGGAGGTGACGAGGCAGTTGGCCTGTGGTTGGGATGTAGGGTCGAATCTGGCTGACGTGGAATGATGGGCCAATGTACCAGTCTGTCGGCAACAGTAAGTGTGCTGTCATAGAGGTAATCATGTGGCTGATTTGGAATGGTCCACGGTAGCGCGGTCGTAGTTTCGGTATAACGGGCACTCTTGAGTTCTGAATGTCGAGCAGTACGTAATCTCCTGACTGGTATGTGACTGAGCAGCAGTACGTAATCTCGTGACTGGTACGTGACTGAGCGGCGGTGTCGGTCAACGTTGCACTTAGCGATGACATTTGCCCTTTTAATTGCTTCGGCGGCTCTGGTGCGGGCAGCTTGCAGAATCTCGGCAAATGGTTGTGCGCGTGGCGTTGGGTTGTCCGGACTCGGCGTCATGTGCACTGTAGGGTTTTGCTCGTAGTTCAGGTAGAACGGGGACTGCTGCGTCGTCGCTGATGTGGCGTTGTTGTACGCGAACTCAATCAGCGGCAGCTGCTATTCCCAAGTTGTCGGATTGTTGCACATGGCACGAATTAACTGCTCCATCGTCTGATTCGTCCGCTGCGTTTGACCGTCGGTCTCTGGGTGGTACGACGAGCTGAACTATAGGCTGGTCCCGAACTGCTCCCAGAGGTTTTTCCAGAAATTGCTGGTGAACTTCGTGTCGCGGTCGCTGATTATCGCGGCTGGTATCCCGTGTAGTCGAACGACGGCTGCGATGAACAGGCGAGCGGTTTCTTCGGTTGAGATCGATTTCTTGCACGTAGCGAAGTGTGCCATCTTGGTCAACCTGTCAACAACGACCATAACCGCGTCGTTTGTCAAACTTATATGCTATAGTCTGTGTAGGCTGTAGTGGGGTGGCTATATGGGGTACAACATTTCTAGGTTTTCCTACTTGTACCCACCTGCTTGCTAGTTAATTCATTCCTCATTCTTCACATGGTATAGAGCATGTTCCCTCGTGGGAACCCTTCTCAGGGCCCACCACCTCACTCGATCTTTTTTTTTCCTGCCCGAGGCGCGCCCCATAGGCCGCCCTCACGTTGCGCCCTCCTAGAGGCCCCTTGCGCCACCCTTAGCGGCCCCGTCGCCTTCCTTTCCGGCCCCGTCGCCGCCCCTCTAAGCCCCTCGCGGCCCCTTCACGGCCCCGTCGCCGCCGCTCTAGGCCCCGTTGCCGCCCCTCTAGGCCCCTCGCAGCCCCTTCGCGGCCCCGTCGCCGCCCCTAGCGGCCCCGTCGCCGCCCCTCTAGGCCCCTCGCGGCCCCTTCGTGGCCCCGTCGCCGCCCCTCTAGGCCCCGTCGCCGCTCCTCTAGGCCCCTCGCGGCCCCCCACTTCGCGGCCCCATTGCCGCCACTTGCGGCCCCGTCGCCGCCCCCTCTAGGCCCCTTACGGCCCCTTCGCGGCCTCGTCACCGCCCCTCTAGGCCCCTTACGGCCCCTCTGCGGCCTCGTTGCCGCCCCTAGCGGCCCCGTCGCCGCCCCTGGAGGCCCCGTCGCCGCCCATCGCGGCCACCTCGCTGCCCTTAGCGGCCCCGTCGCCGCCCCTAGCGGCCCCATCGCCGCCTCTACCGGCCGCGTCGCCGCCTCTACCGGACCCGTCGCCGCCTCTACCGGCCCCGTCGCCGCCTCTACCGGCCCCGTTGCTGCCTCTACCGGCCCCTTCACCGCTGAGCTGCCCAGCAGCTGAGCACCCGAGCCACCGAGCCGCCGAGCCGCCCAGCAGCTGAGCCGCCCAACAGCCGAGCCGCCGAGACGCCCAGCAACCAAGCCGCCGAGCCGCCCGACAGCCGAGCCGCCCAACAGCCGAGCCGCCGAGCCGCCGAGCCGCTCAGCAGCCGAGCCGCCGAGCCGCCCTGCCGTCGAGCCGCTACTGTTCCTACCAGCGCGCCCCGGCCCTACTTACTCGGACTGGTGAGATCACTCCCTGCTAGGCCACTGCAGTCATGGCTACCCCCAGTGTCCTTACCTTTGATGCTGAGGGTCGTGCTGTTGACTTTGAGGTCTGGGTCGATGACCTCCAGCTGTTCCTATAGTGCGATAGGGCAGACGGACTCTCCCTGTTCAATCTCACCTCTGGTGCCTCTCCTGCCCCGCCTGCTAGTGCTGACAGCACTGTTCGCTCGCAGTGGGCCACACGCGATGCTGCTGCCCGTCTTGCTGTGTGTCGCCACTTACCGACCACTGAGCGTGCGCACTTTAGCCAGTACAAGATAGCTACGACCTTGTACGACGCTGAAGTTGCACGCTACTCTTCCCCTGCCACTGCTGCGCTAAGCCGCCTCATGCTGCCGTACCTGTTCCCTGACCTTGCTGCCTTTCCCACAGTCACTAACGTCATTACGCACCTTCGCACTAGCGACACTCGCTACCTCGCTGCGCTTCCTGCTGAGTTCTGTGCCAAGAACCCCCCCCCCCATGTACATCACCCTCTACTACATAGTCACCCGGCTCCCTGACTCCCTTCGCTTAGTCAGGGACCACTTCCTCTCAGTTTGCCCCACCACACTCACCGTTGACCTCCTCGAGGAGCGCCTCCTAGCAGCAGAGAAGAGCATAGTCGCTGTAGGAGCCTCTCGTGGTGACCCTCGCACCCCCGTCTTTGAGGGGTGTTCCCCCTCCCCCCTCTTGCCCTCTGTTGCTTCTACTACTGCGGCTGACCTCGTTGGTTTCGAGTCGGTCGGCGCTGCGTCTGCCCCTAGCGGGAGACGCCGCATCGGCAAGGACAAGAGGGGCAAGGGCGTTGGAGGGGCTGGCGGGGGCGGTGGAGGTGGTGGTGGAGGCAGTGGAGGGGGTGGGGGTGGTGGTGGGAGTGGTGGCGGGGGTGGAGGTGTCTGTGGCAGCAGTGGAGGCGGAGGAGGCGGCGGCGGTGGCGGAGGGAGCGGAGGCGGCGGAGGTGGCGGAGGCGGCGGAGGTGGCGGAGGCGGCGGAGGCAGCGGTGGAGCTGGTCGCGGCTCTGCGCAGAGGAGTGGCTCCGGTGGTGGTCCGCGCCAGCAGCAGCAGTGCAATCGTGAGACCCCGTCCCCCCAGCAGCTTTGTGAGTGGTACGCTGGGCATCAGCGAGGTGGGGGTACTGGTCCCTGCACCTACGTCCTCCGTACCGGCGACCGCGCTGGTGAGCAGTGCGGGGGCCCGCACTCCACCTAGCGCTGCTTCGGCCGCCTGACGGACGCGTGGCGTCACCAGTTCCCTGACGCCACTGAGATCCCTCGCTGGGGAGAGCTGTCTAGGGCGGGGGTTGCTATCTTTGATCTTGATTATGATGCTATTCTTGCAGCCATGTATGTTTTGTCTACTAGTGATGAGGATGACTGTTACCTGTGTGTTCCGCCTGACCCGGGCATTGAGGCTGCTGCTCTAGGTGCTGGTGAGGCTGCTACTCTAGGTGCTAGTGCGTCTGCTGCCCCAGGTGCTGGTGAGTCAGCTCTCTCAGGTACCACGTCGGCTCAGGCCTTACACACCTTCACCCTTGACTCGGGTGCTTCCCGCTCCTTCTTTCGAGACCGCACCACGCTTACGCTGCTTAGTCGGCCGGTTGCGGTCTCCCTGGCGGACCCCTCTGGGGGTCCTGTCCTTACTAGCTTCTCCACTGTCTTACCGTGCTCGACTGCCCCCTCTGGCACCCTGTCAGGTCTCTACCTCCCCTCGTTCTCTACGAACTTGGTGGCAGGATGTGCACTCCAGGACGGGGATTGATATCTATGCTCTGGACTTTGATGCTATTCTATCTGCCATGTATGTGATGTCTACTCTTGGAGAGGGTGCTGAGTACTTGTGTGTGCCGCCCGACCCGGGCATTAGGGCTAGTGCGTCTGCCGCTCCAGGTACTCGCGTGTCCGCTACCCCAGGTGCTGGTGAGGCTGCTGCTCTAGGTGCTCATGTTTCTCCCCCCCTTGGTACTGCGTCGACTGCCGCACTGCACACCTTCACACTGGACTCAGGTGCTTATCGCTGCTTCTTTCGTGACCGCACTGCCCTTGAGCCGCTTGCTCGGCCAGTTGCTGTCTCCCTTGCTGACCCCTCTGGGGGTCCGGTCATTGCGACCTCTTCCACTGTCCTTCCCTGCCCTGCGGTCCCGTCGGGCACACTGTCAGGTCTCCACCTCCCCTCGTTCTCTACGAACTTGGTGGCAGGATGTGCACTCCAGGACGGGGGTGTTCACCAGTTCACCCCTGCCTACGAGCGCGTGACACACTGCACGTGTGCTCGTACGGGCCGTCACTTGGCTACCTTCACTCGGCAGCCGGGGTCGGACCTGTACACACTGACTACTGAGTCCCCTTAGGTTGCTGCGACTGCGTCCGCGTCCGCGTCAGGTCAGCTGTCCGCCCCCTGCTCGTGTCGCTCTTTGGCACACGAGACTGTCCTCTGGCACCACCGCCTTGGCCACCCGTCTGTGCAGCGGCTTCGTGCCATGCACTCCCGGTACCTTGTCTCTGGCCTGCCCAGGGTCCTTCCTCCCCTCCCACCCTCGCCTGCTCCTACCTGTCTCCCCTGTGTCGAGGGACGGCAGCGCGCCGCTCCTCACTCCTCCTCGTTCCCCCCGACGACTGCTCCCTTGCAGACACTCCACATGGACGTGTGGGGCCCAGCCCGCGTCCGTGGTTAGGGTCAGGAGAGGTACTTCCTGATAGTTGTTGACGACTACTCGCGCTACACCTCGGTCTTCCCCTTGGGCACCAAGGGTGAGGTCCCTGATGTCTTGATCCCTTGGATCCGCAGAGCCCGTCTCCAGCTCAGCGAGCGTTTTCACTCGGACTTTCCTGTCCTGCGCTTGCACTCTGACAGAGGTGGTGAGTTCTCCTCCGACCTCTTGGCAGCCTACTGTGCTGAGCACGGCATTGAGAAGTCGTTCACGCTTCCGGCTTCTCCACAGCAGAATGGGGTTGCGGAGCGCCGCATTGGCCTGGTCATGGAGGTCGCCCGTACCTCCTTGATCCATGCGGCTGCCCCCCACTTTCTGTGGCCGTTTGCGGTCCGGTACGCTGCGCATCAGCTCAACCTCTGGCCCCGTGTCTCCTTGCCGGAGACCTCGCCCACGCTGCTGTGGACGGGGGAGGTTGGCGATGCGTCGCGTTTCCGGGTCTGGGGGTCTCGAGCTTTTGTCCGCGATTCGTCTGCGGACAAGCTCTCCTCCCGTGCTGTTCCCTGCGTCTTCCTCGGCTTTGTCCCGGACGCATCTGGTTGGCAGTTTTACCACGCCACCTCGCGCCGAGTCTTGCCCTCCCAGGACGTCACTTTTGACGAGTCCGTCCCCTACTACCGCCTCTTCCCCTACCGCACTGCCCCGCTCCCCCCCCCGCCTCTCTTCCTCGCGCCAGGTGCTGCTGTTGCAGACCCCCTCCCCCCTCAGGGTGCCGCTCCCTCAGGTGTGTCTCAGGTAGACCCGGTTGAGCCTGTTGAGGTAGCTGTCGACTCTCGTCCTGCTGGGGGTGCTGAGCCTGGGGGTGCTGAGCCTGGGGGTGTGGAGCCTGGGGGTGTGGAGCCTGGGGGTGTGGAGCCTGGGGGTGTGGAGCCTGGGGGTGTGGAGCTTGAGGGTGCTGAGCTTGGGGGTGTGGAGCCTCGTGGTGCTGAGCTGCGGAGTCCGGAGTCTGGGGGTTCTGAGTCTGGAGGTACTAGGCCTGGGAGTCCTGCACCTGGAGGAGCCCTCTCCTCGGAGCAGTTGCGTGCGTGGTACTTAGAGTACTGCAGCCTCCGGAGAGGTACCGCTCGAGCCGGACGTACTACTGGGACTGTTGCTAGTGCTTCTTCTCCCGTTCGGGAGCTCCCCTCCCGCGAGCGGATCCGTGAGTGGTACGAGCGGCGCTGCACTCTTCGGAGTGGCGTGCCTCGTGTTACGGACCCCGCTGCTGTTGGAGCTGCTGCTGGTGCTGAGGACGCGGGCGTTGGAGCTGCTGCTGGTGCTGAGGACCCGGGCGTTGGAGCTGCTGTTGGTGATGAGGACCCAGGCGTTGGAGCTGCCGCTGGTGCTGAGGACCCGGGCGTTGGAGCTGCTGCTGGTGCTGAGGACCCGGGCGTTGGAGCCGCTGCTGGTGCTGAGGACCCGGGCGTTGGAGCTGCTGCTGGTGTTGAGGACCCAGGCGTTGGAGCTGCCGCTGGTGCTGCGGACCCGGGCGTTGGAGCTGCTACTGGTGCTGAGGACCCGGGCGTTGGAGCTGCCGCTGGTGCTGAGGACGTGGGCGCTGGAGCTGCTGCTGGTGCTGCGGACCCTGGTGCGGGTGTCCCTGCTGGCTCTAGTGTCGCTGCTCGGTCTCGGCCGTACTTTGTTCCGCTCCTTCAGCAGGTTCTTGGTCAGCTTCCTCCTCCTTTTCCTCCTTCCTCCTTAGCGTGTCCTCCGCCTGTCCAGCTGCAGTCGGCGTTACCGTCTGCCTCCTTTCTCCCTGGTCCTGCTCCTTACACTGGTCCGACTGGAGGTCTTACTGAGCGGCGTGAGCCTGCGTCTCGTCCTGCGTCGCCTGAGTCTCGTCCTGAGTCGCCTGTCCGCACTGCTCTTTCTAGTAGTCGAGTCCAGCGTCAGCGTCTTCCTGCTGTCCCAGGCACTCACCGGATGGCGCTTCGTCCGTCCACTTCTCCACAGCGTGTCCCACTGCCGTCTCCTCCTGCTTCCTCTCTTCCTGCTCTTGCTGACCCTGGGTCAGACTCTCTTCGTGCTACCAGTCCTACTGTCACGCGTCTCCTGGCTACTGTTGTCACTAACCCTTCCTTTGAGTCTGCTGCTGCGTCTGCCTTAGTTGCTGAGCTTGTCGACTTTGCTGCTCGCTGTCGTCTAGACTACGCTGCTAGCCTAGTTGCTGAGTCTGAGTCTGTCTGTCCTCCGTCCGTCGGGGGTGAGTGTGCTCTTGGCACTGACGTCCTTGAGGACAGGCAGGAGGAGTTTGAGTGCTTTGCTGCCGCTTTGCCCCATCTCGTGTCCATGCTTGTTGCCCCTAAGGGAGACCCGGATGCACCAGACATCCCGACCCCACGCTCTTACGCAGAGGCGATGGCCGGTCCCTACTCCTCTCAGTGGCAGTCAGCCATGGACACAGAGATGGCTTCCTGGAAGTCCACAGGCACCTACGTCGACGAGGTTCCCCCACCTGGGGCGAACATCGTCAGTGGCATGTGGATTTTCAGGGTGAAGCGGCCGCCGGGCTCTCCGCCTGTCTTCAAGGCGCGTTACGTTGCACGAGGCTTCAGTCAGCGAGAGGGAGTTGACTTCTTCCAGACCTTCTCCCCGACCCCGAAGATGACCACTCTTCGGGTTCTGCTGCACGTCGCCGCTCAGCGTGACTACGAGCTCCACTCGCTTGACTTCAGCACTGCTTTCCTACAGGGCAGCCTGCACGAGGAGATCTGGCTGCGCCGTCCACGTGGCTTCACTGGGTCGTTTCCTCCTAGTACCCAGTGGAGCCTCCGACGGCCAGTCTACGGTCTCCGCCAGGCGCCTCGTGAGTGGCACGACACACTGAGGACTACGCTTGCGGCTCTTGGGTTCGCGCCTTCTACTGCTGACCCGTCGCTGTTTCTACGCACCGACACCTCACTGCCGCCGTTCTACGTCCTTGTGTACGTCGACGACTTGGTCTTTGCTACTGCTGACACTGTGGCACTCGCCCACGTGAAGTCGGAGCTGCAGAAGAGACACACGTGCACAGACCTGGGTGAACTGACAAGCTATCTTGGCTTGCGGATCACCCCGGACAGAGGACGCCGCACCATCACCTTGACTCAGTCACACATGGTGCAGCAGGCCTTTCAGCGCTTCCGCTTCACGTACTCCTCGCCTCAGCCCACTCCTCTGCCTACCGGTCACTCGCTCTCAGCTCTGCCTTCGGATGAGTCCGTAGAGCCGAGTGGCCCGTATCCAGAGCTTGTGGGTTGCCTCATGTACCTGATGACCTGCACTTGACCAGACCTTGCATACCCTCTCAGCATTCTTGCACGCTATGTCGCTCCCGGCCGTCACCAGAAGGAGCACATGGATGCAGCTAAGAGGGTGTTGCGCTACTTGTGCAGTACGTCGGGCATGGGGCTAGTTCTTGGAGGGCGAGTCCCAGTTGTTCTCACTGGGCACTCAGACGCTTCTTGGGCAGACGACCAGGCTACTCAGCGGTCGTCTCAGGGTTACTCCTTCAGTCTTGGCTCTGGTTCTGTTTCTTGGCGTTCTACTCGCTCTTCTTCTGTTCTCAGCTCCAGTTGTGAGGCTGAGATCTACGCCACAGCCATGGCGGCCCAGGAGCTACGCTGGCTCACCTACTTGCTGACCGACCTTGGAGAGCAGCCTCGTTCTCCTCCAGTGGTGTACGTCGACAACAAGGCAGCCATTGCCTTGTGTGAGGAGCACAGACTGGAGCACAGAACGAAGCACATTGCTCTGCGTTACTTCCTTGCTCGAGAGCTGCAGCAGCGTGGTCAGCTTCGCCTGCGTTACGTGGCCTCTGAGGCCAACACTGCTGATGTGTTCACCAAGGCGCTTCAGCCTTGTGACCATCAGCGCTTTTGCACTCTTCTAGGCCTTGTGCCTACTGGACCTCACTTGCTTACTTCTTGAGTCTGTTTGTACTGTGATCTCTATATATATATCTGCATGTTTACTCTTGTTAGGTTGTGATCATTGTACCTTTTGCTCTATTATAAACCTGCATGTGAACTGGTCTTGTGACCACTTGCTTGTGCTCGGAATTTGTGTGGTATCCTTGAGATCCACCTTGAGCTTGTTTTGCCTTGCTTTGCCTTGACTGGTCTTGTGACCCCTAGTTCTCCCCCACTTTGCCTATGGGGGTGTGTCGAACATTATATATGTTGTGTTAGTTTAGGCTACAGTGGGTTAGCCTATAGGGGGTACACAATTATTGGGTTAGGTACTTGTACTCATTTCACTGCTAGTTCATCCATTCCTATTCAGTGATTCCAACAAGAGGCTCTGATACCAAGTGTCACGGGTGCAATGAATCGAAGTAGCGAGAATTGCACTAAGGTGTCAAACGAGTACAAAATGTGAGCGAAGGCATGAGCGAACATTTATACGCGAAACATGCAAACGGTAACGCGGTGCGTGCGAGCTAGCTAGTGCTACGTTGGAAGCGAGGCTCGGGCTAGTCCCGAAGCGTAGGCCGACACGACCGGTCCAGCAGTGCGATGTTTGGGAAAACAATGCGCGCGAAGTCAGCGAAGCCCCGTTCGCAGTAACGGGCGAACAACGGCTGCTGCTGTATGCGGTGTTGCAGGGTGCGCTAAGGAATACCGAGAAAATTCCTTGCTAAGGTTGTTCCATGCGCCTTACAAATCTTTTCGATAACATCTTAATCCCACCTGTTTCACATCCTGGGGATTTTAGTCTGAGCTGGAATCTGGAAAATTCCAACTCCTGCACTCAGGACCTGGCCTTCTCATCTCATTGTACGATATTCATTGAAAATAAAACATGATTCATTTAGCATCCCATGATCCCCATATTATAATCTATTGAGTGCAACCTATCTAAGACTGGCGTGTTTCTTATCGTTAGTGAGGTCAGGGAAGGTCTCCACCCTCTTCCTTGCCTGACTCAGTATAAGCTGATCCACTATCCACTGCAGCCAATGAAAGACAGGGAGAAGCCAGAACAGACACGATGGGTCAGCAGGAATGAGACGTGAAGTGCTGTATGTTGTAACATGGGTGAAGGTAACCTTGCATGGAGTAACGTACACATAAGAGGAACTATCATATTGTAAACTCTACAATAGGGCACCATGGAGTGGAGTTGAAACACAGATGCTCACAAAAAGAGATCTTCAAACATCAACCACACACCATACCACACTCCCCAATCGATTTTGAACTCACAGGTGCCACCGACCTTCACCATTCCCACACAACCCCCGTCCACCACCTCCCACCCCTGCCCACCACCCACCTGCATCTGAGCGTCAAACACCGGGCCCCTCTCTCCCTCCATGAGCCGGCGTCTACCTATAAGCTCCCGGTGTATTTTGCGTCGACTCAAAACGCACCCACCTGCATCTGAGCGTCAAACACCGGGCCAGTCTCTCTGAATGAGACTCGCTGTCTCTGCATGAGCTCCCAGCACGCGTTGTACCAGTCACTGCCGGGCGCCCAGAGGTGGCGGTAGTCGGAGAGCACGTGGATCTTGTAGAGCGAGGCGAGCGGGCTGAAGAAGCCCGGAGTGCGCTCGTTCGACGCTATGTACACGTGGCGCCCCGGCTTTATGAACTTGGGTAGCTTTTTTAAGAGGCTGTTGAGCGAATGGGGGGAGGGAGGAGGGAGGAAGGAGGGTGGAAGGAGGGTGTAAGGAGGGAGGGGGAAAGTGTGTCAAAAGCAACCAAAACCTCTCCCCTCCCCTCCCCACACGATCTACACCTACTATCGCACCATGGCAACACCTTCCAGTTGCAGCCCTATAATCCCACCCTTCCCAACCCTCACATATCCCCTCGTCTCCCATTTCCGCTCTCTTCTCTCTTCCCCCCTCTCTGTCTCCCCTCTCCCGTCTCTCCTCTCCGGCCTCCCTTTCCCCCTCCCGTTCCCCCTCCCCCATGCCCCCACCCTTCCAAACCCCACATATTCCCCTCTCCCTCGCCCCTCTTCCCCTCCCCTCTTCCCTCTCCCTCCTCTTCTCCGTCCCCTCTCTACCCTACCCTTCCCCCACACATCCCCTCCTCCCCCCGCCACCCTTCTTCCCCCGCACGCACGCATCAGGGCGCGTATCGCGGTCAACGTGCGGCCAGTAGTAGCGGTTGAGCTTGTCTCCGCGCCGCACGTGCACGGCATCATAGTCCCCGCCAATGCTGCGCCGAATCGCCTCTGCTAGGCGCCGCAGGTACATGGGACGCTGGATCAGGTTGTAGTTGCGCACCAGACGCTTCTGAGGGAAGGGGGGGGGGGAGGCGGGGAGGGGGGGTAGAGGGGGTGGGGCGAGTGGAGGGGACAGGAGAAGTTGGAATGGCCTGCGCCAGTCGCCGCAGGTACATGGGGCGCTGAATCAGGTTGTAATTGCGCACCAGACGCCTCTGGGGAGGGGGGGGAGGTGGGAGAGATGGCAGGGCAAGGCAGCTTAGAGGGGGCGTGGTGAATCGGCCTGGAGAGGGTTGGAAGGCCTGTGGCACCCACCGCAGGTACATGGGGGGGCGAATCAAGTCGTAGTTGCGCACTAGACAGGCGAGTCTAATTTTGCGACGCCTCACAAGGAAAACCAGACCCTCGCACCATACTCACCTCGACCCCTCCTACTCACCACATCTTACTCTCCCCATCCCCTCCCACGCACCACATCCCTTCGTACTCACCCCCCTGCGCTCATCGCAAATGTGGTACGCGAACAGCGCCCTGCACATGATCAGCAAGGCCCCCTAAACCCGGAACCCCGAAAGCCCCCGAAAGTCTTTCCCGACCACGCACCTTGCTCCTGTGTTCATCGCACATCTGGTACGCGAACAGCGCTCTGCGCGCGATCAGCATGGCACCCTAAACCCTCAACCGTAAACCCCAAAAGTCCTTCCCGACCACGCACCTCGCTCCTGTGTTCATCGCACATCTGGTACGCGAACAGCGCTCTGCGCGCGATCAGCATGGCACCCTAAACCCTCAACCGTAAACCCCAAAAGTCCTTCCCGACCACGCACCTCGCTCCTGTGTTCATCGCACATCTGGTACGCGAACAGTGCTCTTCGCATGATGAGCGTCGCATTGCGCGCATCCTCACTCTCCAGCCGGCTCGTGGGCGCCTTCGCCTCAAACACACGCACGCTCATGTTGTACCTCTCTCTCAGAATCGTCACGTTCAGCGGCCCTATCTTGAGCTCGAATTGGAGGTCCAGCATTATGGGCTGCATGCTGTGTGGGGGGTGAGGGGAGGGAGGGTTGGAGGCGGGAGGGGGGGTGTGGGGGGAGGGCGCGGGGTGGAAAGGGGGAGGGGAGGTTAATGGGCCACAAAAGGACGCCATTTCTTTAGTCTTCTACCTCCTCTACCTCCCCCATCTCCTCCATATCCTCCACTTTTTCCTCTCTTTTTTTTCTCAGGAATTGACTCAACATCTTGGCTCCAATACACGAGTGAAAAAACACCGCTTGAAAATCCATCCACAAAGTATCCAAACCAATGGTTACCGAAGGGACAAGCGATCATACCGCGGCCAGTGATCCATGGCATAGTACAGCACCATCGGTTTCTCCTCCGTCAGATGCGACAAAGTATGCCGTGCGTCCAGGCACCTGGCCATGGGAATGATGAGCGTGCGGTTGAGAGCCTTCGCCTCCGCCGCAGCGCACAGGAAGCTCCACGTCCAGTGCGACTCGCCCGCGCAGTAGTCGCCCTCGCCCGTCACCATGTAGAACCGCTGCGAACCCCAGCTTTCACCAACTGCGCCGCCTGCACTGTTCGCACCGCTTGCATTGGCCCGATCAGCACCGCCATTGGCACTGGCATTTGCATGAATCGCACTGGGATTGTCATACGCATTCGGGTCGGAATTGGCATGGTCCGCTGATGATTCCCCACCAGGTGATTCCCCGTGCACCCGTGCTGCCGTTTCAACGGTTTCTGCGGTTGTGGCGGAGGGCGCGCCAGTGCTTGCCACGTCTGCTGAGCTCAATGCTATGAGGGCTGTCGTGGACATTGGCTGCTGCTGCTGCTGCTGCTGCTGTGGCAGTGGGTCTGAATCCTGTTGCTGCATCTGTGGCAGCAAGAGCCCAGATGGCCCCTCTCTTAGCCGCTGCTGCCGCTGCTGCCGCTTCCATTCATCCTGTTGTGTTTGCTGCTTTTGCTGTGGGTCTGAACCCTGCTGCTTTTGCTGCTCTGGATCCGCAGAGTCGTCGTCGCCGCCTGTGCCGCTTCCTGTCACGCCCAGGAGAGAGCCGCCACCGCCGTCACCGTCGCCACCGGCGCGGCCATGGGACGCGAAGGAGCCTCCCGCCGCGACTATCGCCGCTATTGGCGCCGTACCTGCCGCGCCTATCGCATCTACCGCACCTACCGCATTTTCCGCACCTTCGGCGTCAAGATGTTGTGAGGAAACTTCCTGCGTGCGATTTGAGAAGAGAAATTGTCCGATAAAAAACGCGGGAACGAGCAGCAGCAGCACGCGCCACGTGCCGGACTTCCAATGCCATGGCGACGCGACTCCCTTGGAAGAACTAAGAGACAGACCTGCGGATGAACCTAAAGACGAACCTGCACCGGTATTTGTGACCACTAAACGGTTGGACAAGCGAAGGTCTTGCGTTCGACTAGAAGCGTCGCCTCTGGACCTCGAGGCAACTGACCGTTGAAACGTCTCCATCAGAGTCTGACGGGCTCGTTGCTCATATGAGGTGAGCGGGACGACGAAATAAGGCCATTACATTACACGAACATTTGGAGTGGAATCAGGACTCAGGGGTCCTGCTCGCCATTTTTTTTTTTTTTTTTTTTTTATTATGTCATATATATGCACCGAGATTGAGCCACGCCGGAACCAGGGAAGCGACAGATTCTATACACGCGACACGAGTCTGGAGTGGACGTAACTCATCAGTAAGCGGGTCTGGAGCGACATGATATTTCTCCTCTCACCAACCCCATAAGGTCGCAAATGATTACAGAAAGTGGCCAGATAACTTGGCCACTAATCAGTGAGAAGAGACTCGTTTGTATCAATCAGGAGCAAGACTTCTCAGACACACATCGCACTACAACTACTACCGGAGTTACGCCCCAGGATGGTAAGCTTCGGTGAGCGGTTCTGAGCCGTCCCGACGCCGACTCGTCTCTTGCCGAGGAGTTTTGCACCACGTTCTAAGGAGCTCACTCAATGTGAAGAAAGAGCACACGAGATTCACCTCCTGCGTGTCGCACGCTACGCAACACAAGGGTGCAGTTTGTGCAGTCATTCGTGTGACAACCGGTGGTGGTCACCTCACCACCAGTTCCCTTCCCCCCCCCCGCCGCCGGAATAATCCAGGTGCGAACAGTGTCATTCATCCAGAGTTCGTTGCGATGCGATTCGCTTGTGAACTGGCAGGCGGACCAGTCACGTCACATCATGGCTGTCGATTGGTTCGTGGGCTGACAATCTGCCAATTGTACGCAATTAGGTACAGTGGCTCAGTCGTCCGGTATATGTTGACAAACAGAGTGCTATACGATAACCTATATTTTGCCCGCTTGACCCACTCGCGCCCGTTGCGCCTAGCCTACGGTACCACGCCCGTAGCGCCCTCTCGTTACGCCCTGCCCGTCCCGTCGCGTCGCGCCCGTCCCGTCTCGTCCCATCGCGTCCATCGCGCCTCCCTGGCCGTCGCGTCGCGCTGCCCGTCCCGTCGCATCGTGCCCGTCCCGTCCCGTTCCGTCCCCTCGCGCCCATCGCGCCTCCCTGCCCGTCGCGTCGCGCCCTGCCCGTCTCGTCGCGTCGCGCCCGTCGCGCATCCCTGCCCGCCCATCGCGCCCTGCTCGTCCCGTTGTATCGCGCCCTGCCCGTCCCCATCAACTAGGGTTTCCTCCACCAAACTAAGACGTGGAAGCAGTAGCTCCCTCCCCTCCGCATCAGCTATTGCGACGCCTAGGGTCCTGCGCTTTGATGCCAAGGGTAGGCCGCTGGAATCCCCGTCTGGCTCCTTCGTGCGCAGTGCCTGATAGAGAGTCAGTGTCAGGCTAATGAGTCCCTCTGGGCGCACGCCTCCGGTGACCTTCTTGTCAAATTATATCTGTGCTACATATGTGTAGGCTGTAGTGGGGTAGCTAATATGGGGTAGAGCCCTTAAGGGTTTCATACTTGTACCAAACTTTGACCTAGTTCATTCCATTCCTGCTCCTTCAGGTGTGTCTCAGGTAGACCCTCCTCCCTTGACTGAGCCGATTGAGGTCACAGGTGACTCAGGTCCTACTGGGGGTGGTCCTGCTCGGGGTGCTGCTTCTAGGGGTGCTGAGCCTGGGGGTGCGGAGCCTGGGGGTGCTGAGCCTAGGGGTGCGGAGCGTGGAGGTGCTAAGCCTGGGGGTGCGGAGCCTGGAGGTACTGAGACTGAGCGTGAGGAGCCTGGGGGTGCTGAGCCTAAGGGTGCGGAGCCTGGTGGTGCTGAGCCTCGGAGTGCTGAGCCTGGGGGTGCTGAGCCTTGGGATACTGGGTCTGGTGGTGCTGCGCCTGGGGGCACTGAGGCGCCTGGTGAGCAGTCTCCTTGGAGCGGCCGCCTCCGTAGTCGCTCCGCTGGTGCCTCGCCACAGCACTCTCGTCGGCGTGTCCCTCTCTCCACACAGCAGCTGCGTGAGTGGTACGTTAGCCGTCACGGTCGCGCTTCTGGAGCTGGGGGCCCTGCTACGGGAGGCGCTGGGGTTGGAGGCACTGGAGCTGGCGCTGTCCCTCTCTCCACACAGCAGCTGCGTGAGTGGTACGTTAGTCATCAGGGTCGCGCTGCTGGAGCTGGGGGCCCTCCTGCAGGGGGCGCTGGAGCTGGTGACTCTGCTACTGGAGGTGTTTCTACTGGAGTTCCTGGAGCCGCTGGTCCCGGAGGTGCTCGTACTGGAGGTACTGGAGCTGCTGGGGCTGGAGGTGCTGATGGACCTGGAGGTGCTGCTGTCGACTCTGAGGTTGGAGGCCCTGGAGCTAGAGGTGCCGGTTCTGGGGGTGCTGCTGCTGGTGGTGCTAGTACTGGAGGTGCTGTTGCTGGAGGTTCTAGAGCTGTTGGAGGTGCTGGCGCTGGTGGCGCTGGCGCGGGAGGTGCTGGAGCTGCTGGAGGTGCTAGTACTGGAGGTGTTGGTGCTGAAGGTTCTGGAGCTGCAGGAGGTGCTGGAGCTACTGGTGCTGGTGGCACTGCACAGCCGCGAGTGTTCTTCGCTCCGCCGACACCTTCGTCCCTGCCGACACCTTCGTCCCTGCCGCCGCCTGACTCCGTGCTTCGCCAGGTTCTTAGCCTCCCGTCCTCTACTGGTCTTCCATTACAGCCTGGCTCACCGTTGCCTGCTCCTTCTCCTTACACTGAGCAGACAGGAGGTCTTGCTGAACGTCATGCGCCTGCGTCTCGTCCTGTCTCACCTGTTCACACTGTGCACGCTGGTCGTACTGGTCGTCGTTTTTCTCGTGAGCGTCCGTCGGCTGTCCCCGGCACGCACCTCATGGCCCTGCGTCCTTCCTCTACTACGCAGCGTGTTCCCATGCCGTCCCCTCCTGCGTCTTCTCTCCTTGACGTTCCAGACCTTGAGTCTGACCACGCTCGTGCTGCTCTCCCTACTGTCACGCGTCTCCTTGTACTGACCCTTCGTTTGAGTCCACTGCTACGTCTGCTTTAGTCGCTGAGCTTGATGGCTTTGCTGTTGCCTGTCGTCTAAACTTCGGTGCTAGTCTTGTTGCTGAGTCTGAGTCTGTGTGTCCTCCGTCCGTCAGGAGTGGGTGTGCTCTTGGCACTGACGTCCTTGAGGACAGGCAGGAGGAATTTGGGTGTCTTGCGGCTGCTGCACCTCATCTCGTGGCCATGCCGCTTGCCCCTGAGGGAGACCCGGATGCACCAGACATCCTGACCCCGCGCTCTGACGCTGAGGCGATCGCGGGTGAGTAATCCTCTCAGTGGCAGATAGCCATGGACACAGAGATGGCATCCTAGAAGTCCACAGGCACTAACGTCGATGAGGTTCCCCATCCTGGGGCGGACATCGTCGATGGCATGTGGATTTTCAGGATGAAGCGGCCGCCGTGTTCTCCGCCTGTCTTCAAGGCTCGTTACGTTGCACGAGGCTTCAGTCAGCGACAAGGAGTTGACTTCTTCCAGACCTTCTCTCCCACTCCAAAGATGACCACTCTTCGGGTGATGCTGCACGTCGCCGCTCAGCGTGACTACGAGCTTCACTCTCTGGACTTCAGCACAACGTTCTTACAGGGCAGTCTGCACGAGGAGAACTGGCTGCGCCGCCCATCTGGCTTCACAAGGTCGTTTCCTCCTGGTACCCACTGGAGCCTCCGTCGGCCGGTCTACGGTCTTCGCCACGCGCCTCATGAGTGGCACGACACACTGAGGACGACTCTTGTGGCTCTTGGGTTTGCCCCTTCTACTGCTGACCCGTCGCTGTTTCTACGCACCGACACTTCCCTGTCGCCGTTCTACATCCTCGTGTACGTCGACGACTTGGTCTTTGCCACTACTGACGCTGAGGCTCTCGCCCTGGTGAAGTTAGAGCTGTAGAAGAGACACACGTGCACAGACCTGGGTGAGTTGCGCAGTTACCTTGGCTTGCAGATCACCCGGGACAGAGCACGCCGCACCATCACTCTGACTCAGTCACACATGGTGCTGCAGGTCCTTCAGCGCTTCGGCTTCACTTGGTCCTCGCCACAGCCCACTCCTTTGGCTACAAGCCACTCGCTCT